GTTTTAATTGGTGGCAGATTCTTACCTGTTTTCCTCAAAGTATATGAGGCTTGGTAACAACACCGCGATGTTGTTAAAATATATGGAATACTGTACTTCCAAACTACCACATAGCTTCTAGATAAATGAAGATATGGGTGTTCAAACCAGTGTCTCCTGCATGCACATCTGTGGGTCTCCTGCTTCTGTGAAAGCTCTGCAGACACTCCTTTCAAGGTCCTGACATGGAAGGTGTGGTGTAGGATTGGAAGAGGAACTTCGTGAAACTGTGCAGGTGATCTCTCATGAGAGAGGGGAGATGGTTTGGGATTTTTTTCCCCTCTGTCAGCCTTTTTAATCTGTTTATTTTGACCACAGTCAAGACATGTGGTGGTCCTGGCCAATAGGTAGTATTTCTGCGGGACTGCAGTGTAGAACACTGAAGTGCAAGGTGGTGTCAGAACACTTAAGTTGTCAGTTGGGGGACAGTGCTGCTGTGGGTTAGGGACTGAGGTTTGCTGGGTTTCTGCTGAAGATTTGAGCACGGTGCTGCCTGGCTGCGTAGTTCTAAGCGGACACTTGGGTCTCATGCTCGCCAGCACTAGGAGCATTAACTTCCATCACACACAAAACCCTGAAACTCACTGCGTTTGCATCATGTGTGTCGGTAGCTTAATTACTAAAGTCATAACTGTCCTTGGAAGACTTACTATTCTGAATAACTTATTTTTACCTGAAATTGATAGATGTACTTTGAAAAAGCTATTTTAATTACCACAGTTTGTGGCACTGTGTGCCTGGACAGAGATGGGGCTGAAATCTACAAATGTAGCTTTTAAGCTTGAAATTTGTGGGGACGTGGCTGATGAGGACTGAGAAGTTTTGCGGTTATGGCTTGAGGGAAATCATTCCAAAGCCAAAGCATTTCATAAGCTGGTGAGAATGAGAAATGCTGGGGGGAGAATGGGATGTGTCTGGATTTCAGAATACAAAATTGCTTCTGCAGTCTCAGAAGCTGAACAGTATTAAAAAAGAGAATAAAGTGTTTAAAAGTAGGTGCAAAATAAGACAAATCCTTCTGAGGCCACAAAGACAATCAGGCCACGTAGACAATCTGCATTTTCATTGGTATATTTTGAGTTGGGAAGAAGACAGCAGCTAAGGGCAGCTGATATGAAGTGGGAAAGAAGGATTTGTCAAATTTCTACTCCAGCGTAGAATTTCCTGCTTAGCTGGATGTGTGGAGGGAGGGGAAGGAGACCATCTTTATTCTTCACGGAAGCATTATTCAGAAGCTAGTGTTCATACTGCATCTCACTCGCAGAACACATGTACCTGTGCTACCTGCTGCTGCTTCTTGTTCTCTGTCTACTGAAACTTTGGTGCAGAAGCTCCTTGTTTACATGAAGCACTTTCTGATTAGGCTGGAAATTAACATCTTGTCCTCCTTTAAATTTGATGGAGATAACAGATTACTGACTGTATCTTGCTTGAGGGTAGAAGAGGTATGAACATTTAAGTTTTCTTGGATGAGGAAGACTCATGCTCATCATCCTATTCAAGGAGAGAGCTCAAGACTTCAATTTAGTGAGCAACATGCAAAAACTTCTTATTCCCCTTTCCCTGACCCCCTCCTCTTTTCCTTAATATATGGATGAATAACTTAATTCCTGAAACAAATTCTTCCTTCGAAATGTTTTGTTGTTCCATGGAGTTACTGTAGTTGTGTGTTAACTGCTGTGTTGATTGGCAGTTTCTTGTTGTATTTTTTCCTGTTCTTGAGGAGTTTCATTTCTGAAATTAAGGCTGTGGCCACCTGTACTTGTAAGCCTTGTTTTTTGGTCCTGGAATGTCCCAAGTGTTTGTCTGATGGGTTTCTTGGGTTTGGGTTCAGTGGGGGTGTTTTTTGAGGTTTTTTGGTTTTTTTTTTTTTGAAAGAATCCTCATGCTGTTTGAGGCACTGTTTGTTCTTCTAATAATGATATGCTTCTGCGGTGGAGGTGGTGCTGAGCTCTGCCAGATGCAGGGAGCAGCTGAGAGATCTAGTTGTAAAACCGTATTTGGGGTTTCTGTACTGCCAGGAGGTAGCCCTGCCTTCGGCACCATTACAGTTTTGTTTCTTGTCCGTGTGTTACTGGTATAAAGTCAAGTGCCTTCAATGCTAAAGGCTCAGAAAACTTTCTTAAACTGACTTCGTGTCCTATGCAAGTGTTTTTTCTACAACCTGCATAACCAGTACTTTGTAAAACTTGTTTACGCTTCAATTGTACATAGTGTTTTTTAAAAAAATAGTATTTTTATTTAGGTACCTCCAAACTTGAATTCTAGTCTTGTGTGATGCATTGTAAAACAATACATTTCTCTTTTGAGTACCATTACAGTTGTAAAAAGGTTTTCACTGGTTCTATTTTTCTACTGTTGCTGAGAAGCATGTAACACTGACTTTATCCTACGTATAGTTGGCATTTCAAATAAATGGCTTGTATAGAACGTGCTTGTGCGACTTCTTCTGTTGGACCATTACCAGCAGGCTGCCCCCATGGGCTGTGCCATTCTTACTCCAAACTTCACCTACCTGACGGCCAGGGAAAGCAGTGGTTTAATACAAACCCTAAGGTGCTCTCTAACAGTAAAGACGCTTAAAACTGGCAAGGCTTTTTTTCTTCTGGGGGAAAAAGTGCACAATAATGCTTTGCACATGGAGGCTGTGATGCAAACTGGTATAAAAAAAGAATTTGAAATTAGTGGCACTGTTCAGGCAGCTTATTAAAAAGGAAAAACACTTCAGTGCAACAGTTCAGTGAGTTCTTCTGGCCAGGGCTTAATTGACTGAGACTATGCACTATTACAGGCAACAGGATTACTCCTTGTGGAGGCAGAGGGACTTAGCCCTTGATCTAGGCAGTGTGTGTTTCCTCAGCAAGCAGCTAGACAAAGGTGCTCATTAAAGACCCAGCACACTTTTCTGGAGCTGCAGTTATCCTGCCTCAGCTCAAAGTGCCTTAAATCTTCCCTAGAAACAAATGCTTCACTACTTCAAAGAGCCGATGGAGGTTTAGAAGTGTCACCTGGCAGCAGAAAATCTTGACTAGTTTCACTTTGATGTACAACAGCACATTGCAGTGGGTTGTGTCCTGACAAAGTGGGGGCAGGGGGTGAGCGAATACTGTGTGCTTTTCAGTGGGGTGTGATGCTCTAGCTGTGTCCTTTCAATAAAAAAGGAAATGTTATACTTGGTTCCAGAAACTTCCTGCAGCGGAACGCCTTCTGCAGCACTGCTCTCCTTTCTTGAGTGCAGGGAGTGGTGGGACTGGGTGTTGCTGTAGTGTTTCCCTGTGCCCTGGCAGCTGTTGATGTGCCTTATATACAGGAGGCAATGGCACAACCTGGCACCCCAGGGTTTTGGTTTGGGGTCGTTTGAGCTCAGAGTTGGAACCCAAGATAGTGCTTGCTCTGAGCCCCTTCTCTGGCCCCACCCCTTGAGTGACTTAATGCCATGAACTGCGATACAGAGGAAATGTAATCCCCTTCGGCTCTTTCTCCTGCTCAGCTGTACTTGCAAGTGAGGTGCCAGCCCTTGTTCCACACCTGCCTGCAATGCTGTAGGAACACAGGGCTTGGCTCAGCCCCTGAGAGGTGTCTTGGCCTACAGCTAACAGGTCATCGCTGTGCTGCCCTCAGCTTGTCTGCATCATGGATGGAAACAAGATGCTACAGCAGCACGTCAAAAAAATCAAGACAGAGTGAACAGTTCTTTAATTTTTAGATATTTTAGTTAGATATGCAGTTACAACTCCCATAACAGCTGCTACCAAAAAAAAAAGCACATACAATACCCAGAGTTAAATTTAAAAGCAACTAGTAACTTTGCATGAAACAGATGAACTGAGCCTCTAGGCTAGAACTAGCTTTTGTAAATAAAGTCATCAGAAACAATGGGGAGAGTGAGAGAGAAAGGTCTGGTTTTCTTTTCAAAAGTCATTAAACAGGGAAGCAGAATAGTACCCCCCTGGTAAAGAAACCCTCTGACTACAGAAAGCAGGAGTTAAAAACTAGAATTTTAAATCTTAAAGTATGTTTTGAGGTTAGTGGGTAAAGAAAACTAAAAACTACATTAGGCTCCAAACTTACAAAAAGTCAATATTTAATTGTAGCTAAGTGTAGATTTTTTTTTTAAAAGTCAGTGAAACATCTCCTGTTCCATGATTATCACAGTGATTAGAAAAAGATCACACATTTTATATTGTAGCAAAATGCCAGGATGCTGCAGTGTTTCCAGGAACATTTATGAAGTAACAGTAATTTGAAGGAGGCTAGTTTTTCAATTGAAAGCACATTAGAAGTCCTATCAACACCCCTGATGCATAATAGTTTAGTACCTCCTCTTAGATATTGTTTATATTCTAGCAAGTGGATAAAGTTCATGCGACAATTTTTACATGTAAAACATTACTGTACAATATTAGAAACAAAGTTTTTGAATTTATAAAAACAGATACAACATTCTGTTGCATCAAGCCTAAGTTATGATTTCTCATTTTTTTTACCTGCCTTGGGAGGACTTCTGCAGTGGAGAATGCACACGTGTGGAAGTACAGTGCTGGTTAGTTCTCCTGATACGACCCAAATGTCAGGATGCAATTTTACCCAATGGCTGTGACATAACGCCTACCTGCTTTACCCTTCCAGGAGCTGTGCATCCCTTGGCGTAATAAAGAGATGCTTACTTTTTGTGGGGAGCCCTCCCTAGAATCACAGAGATGATGCAGAGCCATTTAAAGCAGGAAAGCAAGGCATTCCAGTCTTGCAAAGCACACCGAGTGCATGTTCCCTGCATGTACAGAGGGGAGGGGGGGCAGAGCCCACCCCCTTTTAGTACAGCGTACAGCTATAGGCACTAACAGTAAAATAGGGGAAAGGCTAAAGGGAGCGCACGGTGGCACGCTGCTCTTGTTCACAAGCCCTCCTCCCCCTTGAGACAAGGCCAGCTTTCAAAGGAATGCGAAGTCGAGCAGTACTGAAATCCCTATAAATGCAATGTACCTGCTAAGAAGACCTTTCAGTCGCTACAAATAAAGGAAGTAGTAGGAGACAAAAATGAAGATGTTTCTTGGGCAGTTGGATTTTGATGAGAAGCTAAATGCTGAAGATGCCTCTTCTGTTTGTCAGTGAGTACTGTTTTCCCAGTTGTCCTTTCAGACCCTCTCAGTCTAACTAACTACAGTAGTACTGCATCCGGTTAGTCCGTCGTCTTTTCCGTGACTGAAATTCTTCAAAGAAGTGCTGAATGTCTTCTCTTTTAACCACCTAGGGGAAGCAATATGAAACCCAAGTTGTGGTACAAGAATTCAATTAAACCATCTTTTTTTTGGGTTTGTTTTTGTTTTTTCTTGCACGCACCCCACATGTAATGCACAACATATAGAGAACCAAGTGTCCTGAAATCTCTCTGGCAAAACAGCTTTCCTGTTGTACCCAAAGGACATGATTAATGCCCAAATTCTATTATAAGAGAATACAAAGAGAGAAATGAGCTCGCCACAGGTAGGACAAGCACATGGAGCAAAGCTCCTGCGGTATTTTTAAGAGGTTTGACTACTTGCTTTTATCATCAGAAAAATTAACACAAAGCAGGATTTTCGCTAGTTCACTTCAGGCTCGTTACAATGTAACTAAAAGAAAGCCAACAAAATGCATGCGTTGATTAATAATAGCATGCATATTCCTCAAAAAAACCCTGACATGACTGTTTGCCAATATTTAGTCAGTCTTTATTCTTCTAAGGGTTTAAATTCAATCTAAGAAAAAACATAAATGTTAAAATCTTCCCCCCGCCCCCCAAACACTTTTCCTAGAGCAACAGAAGTTTCTCTTAAAGTTAAGAACTGCTAGCAGTACTTTATAGACAGATTTCTGCAAAGTCCCTGTTTTCTCTCAACAATGCCATTAAGGAGATGATACAACTTTTAAATTCCAGTCAAATCAGGGATTTCTAGTTCCTACTGCAGGAATTAGAAATCTCCAACTCCAAGAGACAGGAAAAAAATATTATAACATAGCATCACGGTATTCAACACCCACCCCTCAATAGTACTTTAAAACACTTTTTTCTGGCAAACAAATTCTGAGAGTCATGCCTTACCGTTCCCTCATCTGCAAATCTCCTGAGATAGTCAGTCAGTTCTGTCTTTAAATCGTTGTATTCTGGATGGAGAAGCAAAGGCAAGGGAAAGAAAACAAAAGAACCAAGAAGATATCCAGCTTTAGTTTAATACAGGCTTAAGAAAACCACTCGTTCACTTCCTCTTGGCATTTGTTAGATTTACTAGAGGCAAATCTAGGTTTGAACTGGATTATAAATAATAGCAACAAAAATAAAGGCAAGTCCAGGTAAACCTGAGAAGCCTAATAATTTATCAGACTAGCCTCTGCCACCTCAGTATCTGTTCAGATTGATCTTCAGAGAAATGTACAGAAGTTCAGTGAGTGAATTATTACAATTAATTAAAAGAGCAGCCCTGCTACCAACTTCCCACTGCAAAAGCACACAGGGGCAGGAGTGGGAAGCCCTGCCCTGTAACTCTGGATTGGGTCAGTGCCCTCGCCAGAGCGCAAACCCATCACTCAGCTGAGGGGGACACGGCTCCAGCTATAAAATACCTCAGCTCTGCCCTGTCAATATACTCTGCGTCAGAGCTGCCGGGGAGCACCCTGCACCCCAGCTTCACACTGGCTGGCATTCACCCAGACAACAGGAGACTGCCAAACAACAGAACAGGGTAAGATAAATAAGCCAGACAGCAGAAGTGTAAATTAATGATTAAATATTTACATTGCAAGAAATTACTATCAATATCTAAGAAAGATGTTAAATAGGGGGAAAGTTCCCACACCATCTAGTTCCTTGATGTAAGTTAAAGTTGTAACAACAGGCCAGAGAGGACAAATATCTTCAGAGCAATCCTGGCTGAGCTGTGCAATCTGTCATACGGTCTCCTACATGGTACTTCAAAACTAGTTTGACACCACACTGCAAGAACTGATACTAATCTCTTATGGGAAACTGTTCCATTGAAGTGTTAAGGCAGATTCCAAAAAAGCAGCTGTATTTACCACAGATGAGTTCTACTTGCTGGACTCTGTTCATGCTGTTAAGGGTGTCCATTAAAGGATCTCTCCTCTCCGTTTCTTGGTCACTGGTACCTTTATTTTCGTAAGCCAAGACAGTGTCACATTCATCTGTCAGGAACTGGACTTCAAGCTCTGAATACATTTTCTGGAGAATAAAGTAAAATTTACTTTTACATTACAAAACTTCTCAGATGGATATGCGCTCGCCCAATTTTTTGTGTGTTCAGTATCACAAATAATAACAATAAAAATAATAATGTAAATTTTGTATCCAGCATTTCAGACATCTCCCCATGACAACTTCCAAAGCAAAAATGGATGTAAGCAGCAAAGAAAATACAAATGTTTAGAAACTCCTTCGTACTGTATTCATTCCAAAAGACATGATGTGTTTCTTTATGTGGGGTGGAGGGGGTTTTTAGGTGTTTATATGCAGACACAGATTTTATCTACAAACTTCTCTTCAAAGATTCTCTGGGAGCTCCTCCCTGCCTCCCCCTCATCAATGATGGTAATGAAGACAGAATACATACCAAACAGTCTTCACAGGTGCATAATTTGCTTCTCCAGTTCAATGGCCAAAAGGTGGCAGTATCTTTTTTTAAAAATTGCTTGCTTTGGAGTTCTTTCAGCTTGCAGACAGGCCCATCACTCTTAGTAACCACCTGAATTAAAATGAGAGTGTTCAGTGCTCTATAATGTTACTTCAAATACAGTCTATTCTTTCCAGCATGTAATTCTCCTTATGCAAGATTTTTCTTTTGTCTCAGACACACTTATTTTTATAAACAACCTATATTGCCATTTCATCCACGCAAGGATTCTGATGTGGTTTTAGCAGTTTCCACTGGAAATTTCTGTAGTAATTTACTGCATAGCCATAAATGTTTAAGAAATCAGAGCTAGACTATCATGCAAATGCAGCTACAATGCAGAATACCCCTATATTGGACCAAACTCAGAAGTTACCTCAGTGTAAAGGCCAGGTGGCTGAGAAGAAGGGATGGATCTAACCTATCTGCAAACGGACGTTACACCCTTGTCACACAGTTCTACAAGTGTGTTCCCACAGCCTACATTGTGCTCCACAGAGACCACACATTTGAAGTGTCAGTGACCGAAGAGGAACGTGGAAACAGACTGAAAGCATTTACCTCTTCACTGAACCTGTAAGAGGTGGGCTTTACTTCACCTATCATCAGTACAAAGCTGTACAGGACAGAAAAGAAGGCCCGTTTTACCTCTGCACAGGCAGACCCAGAGCTAGTGGATGGTTCATTAAACTGTTCCATTTGCTTTTCCTCCTTCATTTCTTGGTGTTCCACTCCACTTTCTTTTTTAATTTCTTTTTTCTGCTCTTCACCTTCCTCAACCTTCAGGACAATCCCTTCATCTTCAAGCAAGTTCACTTTGGTCAAAGCAGGAACTGGAAGATACATACCCGTGTAAGTGAAAATACTGTGCCAGACAAGGTACAGGCTACCACAGACGTTTCTCTGCTTTACTGTGCAGCGTCAAAGAGCACCTAGATTACCTCATACACTGCAGGGTCCTGCATATACTCTAGAGGTGTCCAAAGACACAGTGACCTAGGTATACAAAGAAACCGCTCCCTCTTTAACCACAGACTTCTTCACCTCTCATATGCCTAAAATATTCTGCTTCCCAAAATCTAAGCTCTAGGAGAGGGAAAAGGATATCACAATTTGAGAGTTCTGTATTCAGATGCTTGTCCTTCTCGACACCCCTTGATAACTATCACAGGTTCAGGAGCTGTTGTGTACTTTTTTTGCTGACTTTGTGTCAGAGTCCTTCATTTTCTCCAGACACACGCACCAAAAACTTCATGACAGATTAACTACGCTAACCATTTCCAAATTTAAAACAAGTTTTTCTTTTGATGTCAATTCAAACGTGTGCACTGTGACATAGCTGGTTAGGAGGAAAACCAAAAACAAACAAAAAACATTCTGTACTGTATTTACATTAGAAAGACTAGAATTCCAGGTAGGCCAGCTTGGAATCCTTACAATCACCATTGAAATTTCTGGTACATAAGACATCAATCACCAGTTGAAATAAGCACTATTTAGGAGACTACATGAAACCAGCTCTTTCCACAGAAATCACATCATCTACCCTTCTAATCCTGCAGAGACCACATAGCAGAGACACAGAGACCTGGTATGACTGCAGGGAACACGTGTCCTGAGCACAGCCCCAGCTCTACTCAGATTAAGGTTTTACACATTTCAGGTCACTCTATCATCCACTCTTTGCCAGTCAGAGCCTCTTTGACTCAGCTGTTTGCCTCATTGCTTCTCTTAGGCTGGCTCTTCAGTTCTTTGATCCAGTTTAGAAATTAAATTCCTTGAGACAAGTATTAAATGTTCATCCATCCATGTGCTAGCACATCTTTGATAAAATAAATCAGTCAGCACTGCAGAATTAAGATTTAGGAACAAGAACTGTTTGTTGGGGTTTCTTTGTTTATATTTTTACAGAACAGTTACTGCAGACCTGCATGTTCCACTGCTGAAGGTAACTGTCCAATATAACGAGTATCATTTCTCCAACCGCTTAAACAGTATTATGTCATTAAGGGAAATACATGCTAACAAAATATTGGCTCAGATATCTTAATTTGCTTTACCTGCCAGTTGTGATGCATAGGCCCATAGGAAATGGCAGTGATTCATGCAGGCTTGGCACACCATTTCATGGAAGTCTCCACTTTCAGGGGGAACTGCACCAAGATGCTATCAAAAAGAAACAAGCATGCAGCAGTGAAGCAATCGCTGCAAGTTAACAGACTCAGCTGTTAAGAGGAAGTAAAATATCAACTGCCATCACATTTTCAGCACAAGCATACACTCCTGCAAACTTTCCACAATGATTATCAGTATAATTTAAAGACTGGAAAGAGCTGATAAAAATTCCAGGGAAAACCTGAAATAATTCTCTCTTTGTCTACAGCCTTTTATGTCTTTGACGTACCCAGAAATCTCAGTCCTATCTTTATCTCATTTCTAAATGTTTTTCTTCTGCAATGTCCTAAACATAGGACAGGTGAAGATACCTATTGCACACTGCACATTTAAACTCTCAAATTTAACTTGTGATTACTTCCTTACACGTAGGAGATTGTAAGTCTTCATACTGAACTTGAGCAGAATTAGGTCCCAAAGCTCTCCATAAACTGGTGAGAACAATTTAGGTAATTAAAAGCACTAATTGGCTTTCTTTTGAAAAGCACTCTTGCAAAGTTCACAGTATGCAGCATAACATTCCTAATACCTATATTTATACAAAAGAATGCTATAGTTTATCTACAGAACCCACAATTGAAGCCAATCATATTTTATTAAATTCTTTGATCCTGCAACTTCAAACATGGAATTTCACTCACGGCCTTCAAGGCACAAGAGGCTGAATCCCTAATGCTTACACATTAAGTAGGGCACTTGCTGAAGTGCTGAGCTGCTTTTAAAAGATTTCCCCAAAGTTCGCAATCAAGAACCAACAGCGCAGTTTGCTCCTTGCTATTTAAAGTAATTACAGTTTAAAAAGCATTCTTTTGAATGAAGAACTATTCAGGTAGTTGATAATAATGTGCCTCAGTAAGAATCTTCTCACTGATTCTACTGATTAGAACTTTCCAATTAAAGAGACATTATAGAGTTGTTATTTTATTCTGCAGCAGTAACCTTCGAAAAGGTAGAACTCTTCCCAGGTTTTTCGGACTGGACTGGACAGCAGCACAAGATTAAATTTTCAATTTTCCTTTGCAAAAGATGAGAAGAAATACCTTAGAACTCATGTAATAATCTTTTGAGAACTACAGCAAACCTTCCCAACTATGACTAACCATACAAACTTAACCGACACCAACTCATTTCTATGCAAATGGCAATTCTGCTACTTATCATTTCCTTACCCTTCCATGGAACCAGTCTTCACAAACTATGCATTGGATCATCTCATCTGGAATCTAGATGAATGGTCACATTATTAGCATTAGTAGCAACCTCCAGAATCTTTCACAAGCCTCAAACTGCAGTATTATGCAAAGCCTGCTCAAGTGAATTGCACTTCCCTCTTCACCCACCCGCAGGGAGCTGCCATTAATACGTATTTACTGTTTCATTAGTCAGTTTGCTTCCCTGAAGTTCAACAGCATACGTAATTTGTCATATTATCAAGACTGCGGAAATTCCCATTTGTTATTACAAAACTAATTTTCCCAGTAGAGCAAGACATTCTCACACAAAAGAGCTGATGAAAGTTAATACACTATTGGTATCTTTCTTCCAGTGAACAGAAATGCAGGAACAGGCAGTTTAGCAAAAGAAAGATATTGATATTCATTACATCATCAGGTTTACATAGGAATGCCAGAATCCTAACTTAACTGCCCACAATACAGTATAGTACAAACTGCTTTGGAAACAATTATTAATGATTTCTTTAGAAATGTTTAGCTATCTCTGAACTTCAGGGAGATGAGTTTATAAACTACTTTTTTGTATTTGAAAGACTTGTGCCTTCCTTACTCTTTAAAATACCTAACTTCTATGACTGCCAACAAAAGCATACATGTGCAAACCAACTGGGATATTTTAAAACTTCGGATAGAGAAAAGGTGTTCTGACTACCATAAAGGAAAGCTAAAGCCAGTTACAGGACAGACCCTCCCCATCCCAGGAGCCTTGTCAGAGCACTGTTGCAGGCCCGCAGCAGCAGATTCTGGTCTCTCCTAACGTGTGCAATGTTCTTATTCTGCACTTGCCACATTTCTCAAGATAATGAGAAACCCACCCCTTAAGGGAACACTGCAACTTTAGAGACAGGAAAGCAGAGAGGACTGCCACAGTGTTTTGTCCAAATGATGGTTTGTCTTCCTCATCTGTCTTTAAGGCATAAACATATTCTACCACTTAAAAAAAACCACTGATGAAGTAATTACTTTATACAGCACATGACAACCGAAACCAATATGGAACATAAGATTTCTTAAAGTGAGATCTGCCCTGTAAAGCAGCGCAGAGACCATCCTTCGCACAATTTTGCATAAATACCATCTATATATGATTACTCCTGGTTTTTGTACTTATTACCTCATCTTCAGGATCAGGATAAGGTCTTTTACAAGTACAGTATAATCCATAGAAATTGTCATTATATTTATTTCCTGAATTCACCTTGCCCTTTTCCTAGGAGGAAAGGAAAAATTGTTTCAATAGACAATGCTGTAAAAAACCAAAAGACAGAAAACATGTTTAATCTAGAAAAACTCAACTCCTGTTCCACTTTTATTCCTAAAAACAATCAATCATTACATTCATCAGCTTGAAGATCCAAAAAGAAAGATATTATCCAGACAACTATGCTATACAGTGAGCAGCAGATAGAGCATGAGAGGAATACTGAAGTTCAAAAGGAAAGAGAAAAAACAGTCTTTCCACCTTTGTAACAAATGGCAACTGTGGTGTTTGTTAAGCTACTGCTAATCTGAAACGATGTAAGAGTTTTGATCACTGACCATGCCTGCCTGCTGCCATTAAGCAACATCTGGGGATTTATTGTGCACTTTCCCCTCCATTTTCTTTTAAACATCCAGACTGTGATCCAAAACCAACTTTGTTTAATCTTACCACTGAGCTTCCATTAAATTCATGTCATATAAGCCTCACTCTACAGGAGAGGATTATCCAAATTACAAAACATGCTGAATGAAATTCAATTACAGGTAATCCCATTTAAAAAAAAAAAAACCAAACAGCTAATAGAGCTGCAGCCAGAGGGCTTCAGAACTGCATGTACTTGGAGCCTAAAGTCACCATTGGCCCCTGCAGAAACAGCTTGACCATTTATGATGTTACTACGAAACACATTCTACCACTATTTTGACAAAGGAAAAACGGATGATGTGAGCACCCAGCATCCATGAATTCAGACAGATTGATGGATGGATGCTGAATATAACATGTACAATTGATTTCGCACTGAAAACAGCCATGTGATCTGTTTCATTGACTCAAATGAAAAAAAGTAACATCTTAAAATTGTCACAGGTGTCTCTCTAGGGATCACTGGACTGTAGCCCTAGGCTGACCAGCTCTGCCCAAACGAAATGGGCATACACAAAACCACTTGCTGTTTCTACACTTCAACTGTTATTACCCCGGGAACAGCACTGCAGGTGAGCCAAGCAGCTTTCTGTTGCTGCTTTCCAGAAGATTACCAACTACTTGACAAGTCCAAAATGCCCACCAAGGCAATGAAAGCACAGGGGGCTTAACACAAAAGGTTCTCCTGAAGCCAGCTTAAAGCTACTGAGATGTATTGGTGCGGGCACCAAGACATGTTTCCAGCATTACGCTGACCATGGATGCAGAACTGCTGCATTCATGGCTGAAAAGGACCAAACGTTCTCTCTCCTCACAACATTTCCCTTTGGTCCCTCAATAGTTTTATCTACTGCTGTAATACTCCCACCTTGTTGAACTCACCGGGAAAAGCAGAGGCATTGCATGAGTCAGCACTGGCTGAGGCAAGGCACCAACCTCCCAAGACTGTTACTTTGACTCTGTATGTATGAAACCTATGTCTGAACTTACCGGGAGTAACTTGCACTGCAGATTTTTGAACTTGCTATTTCCACAATCACAGCGGAAGTTCCTGGAAAGAAAAGCATAGCATTTCAGGTTTTTTATTAACTGAAAACACATTAGGTTTTCTGCTCATAACAATTCCCAGCAGTTTATTAGGAGCCATAAAAATACTCTTGCAGCTATTTAAACAATAGCATCAGTCAGAACCAACCAAAGGGCCTTGCGGCCTTACACTCTTACACGGTGTTCTCAGCAGATCTCAGCTAACACCATCATTTGCAACAGCACTTGGCTGGGAGACCGTGATAGCACAGCTAACCCCGGGTGCTGCAGCTACCACATTCAGAAATGCGAGCACGCGTGTTGGTGAAAGAGGAGCGTGAATTGGATCACTTCCAAAGGCTGGATCCATGAAGGTGATTAAGCTCTTGCCTCCTACTCAGACACCTAAGCTCTCTCTTAGTAGGGCTGCTATTCCAAGTGAATGGGGAAACGTGAGTACCTCAGTGACCTGACATCAGCTGCCTATGTAGTTTTGCTGGGAGTGGTGTATTTTGTACACATTACACATTTGAACGTTGTCCTACCTCACAGAAATGTATTATACAGCAGAGGAGACTCTGGGGAAATTCCCCTGGCAAGCTCACCTCACGCTACAGCCCCCCCACAGAGTGTCCTAGCACTCGGGGCCGGGAGGAGAAGGTAAGTGGTGACGGCCCAGCCCGCTGAAAGGGCCCGCGCTTCGCTCCGGGGCGGCTGTGAGGAACCGACATGGCCGGGGGGCTGCCGAAGGCGGGGGC